TGTACGGTCCTGAATGTTTAGGATTGTGATAATATTTAAATCCTGAAAAACAGATTTGCTTGCGAACGCGTTATTCAGATTTTTTTAAAAATAAGTTATTATTGCAATGTTGACTTGGAAGTGTTCCTGGCTTCAGAATGTTTGGCGAACTCCATCCAAATGCACAGACCATAAATATATCATATATTTTTAAAACACTTCGATGTCACTTGTTTTATTTCGGCCCTGCTTTCGCACATTTCATATTTTTTTCTTGTCCAGTCCTGTATTGAGACCAGTTTTTCTAATCTGCGCGTGCACATTAAGTGTTTTGTGGTCAAGCGCATGCGTATTTGCAACACAACAATGGCGGTTCACGGATTTCAAAATTCGAAGAAGCCTGTACTTTGGAGATGTTCTACTTCAATTTGTGCAACTATTTCGCTTGGGGGGAAGTGGATTCTAACTAAGTAAGTTCTAATCTATCCATTCATGTAAAAATTATGTAGTTACACGAGGGGTGCTACGGAATCTGTTTTCTAAGCATATTTTCGACCCTCATCTCACGGCCTAAAACAACGGTTCATTCTTCCAGCGTCGCCATGGTGGGGACGCTTTTACGAGCGTCTTGGTTAGAACAGTCAAATCGTGTCTAAAGAAAACCCTAGGGAGGACTTATACAACGTTCGAAGAACTTCAAACGATTTTGTGTGTCGTGGAAATTGCCATTAACAATCGGCTATTGGTATATTTTAGCGAGGATGACCTCGATGAGCCCTTGACACCATTCCATCTGATACAGGGACGTGGTTATGTTAGAAGAGATCTCGGTCGGAGGACTACGGATATGGTACCAAATCTCAGTCTCGGACAGTGTAAAGATCGGCTTGTGAATCTGCAAAAGGTATTAAAGGATTGTTGGGTTCGGTTTCGAAGAGAGTATTTGAATGAGTTACGACAGATGAATATTTATCGAAAGAGGAAGGGTTCTACTCGTGATCTGATAATCGGTGACATAGTTCTCGTCAAAGACGATGAGCCAGCTCCACGAACACAGTGGAGATTTGGGAAAGTTATACAACTTGCAACCGGTCGGGACGGTCAAGTCAGGTGCAATGCTAAAGGTACTTAGCAAGAGTGGGAAGCAGACAACGATCCATCGACCGCTACAGGAATTGATATCGTTTGAGATTGCGGAGAATAACGTCAAGGAAGACAAGAACGTAGAACACGATGAGATAGCGGAGTCAACTGGAGGAAATGAAACACAACACGATAGTTTGAGAAGGTCGACGAGAAAGGCTGCCGTAGACGGACAAAACGCACGACGATTAAGAGACAAGTATTACTGAACATTCGCACACCGAATTCTTTGGTGTGGGAAGATGTAGAAACTTTATATTATGACACTTTAAATTAAATTGTATCAAGTTACACGTTTATTGCCATTGGTTAATCAGGTCACATGATTAGACCACATGGACGAGTTAATTCATCATTAGTAGGCAAAGGGTTGCCGAGTACGGACGTTATGTAAATATATTGAATAAAAAACTTATATAAAAGGTTGGATTAGTTCTTCTTTTTACATAAGGTTGGATTAGTTCTGCTTTTTACAGTAGGCATAAGTCATACGTAGCACATGCAGAGTTGCAACACTGTGTAATTATATGAGATAGAAATGTATATAAAAATGTATAATGGACAATGGCGAGCTTTAAAACTAATACACGCAACTAGTGGCGGCGGAAATTTTTTTATTTGGGGACCTTTTAATTAATGGCTAACATTTTCCCCACATGATATTTTAAATACGCCTACCAGTTTTCTTTCACTCTCTCCTGAATTTTTCTCCTAAATTTCCCAATTTTTGAATATAAGCTTCGGAATTTTTAATCTGATCCGGGTTTTTTTTTTTTTTTTTTTTTGGGG